AAAGAATCAGCTCAAACTTACTAGGATATTGAGGATTCTAAATAGCTTAGGTGTCTTCCTCACTAAATTCCTTTCTTTTCTTATTAATTAACAAAGGACCCTCACGTTTACACACCAAAATTGTGCAAATTTGACCACAAAACACTATCTTTTGGAGAGTTATCAATTCTCCATCGAATCCCTTTGTTCAGCAACTCCACTCCCCAAAGGATACTCTTCCACACAAAAGAAACATTTCCTTTCTTTTTTAAGAGCACGAGTCACAAACAAATCAAGATTCATCAGAAAACGCTATCCTTGCTTTGCTAGCAACGCTGGATTAAATCATTATAGATCTCGATAACCTAGCCTTCCTGTTATTTTCTAACCACAAATTTTAACCCATGTACCCCAATGAATTTTCCTCTTCTCCTACATTCCACCTTACCAGAACATTGTCATTAGCCAGTTGCACACAACGATAAGGCCTTTTGGAAGCTTAAAACCCGACATGGAATAACTAGGCATTCCTTGGATTACTACTTTTAAAAAACCTTCCTTCCACATTTGGAAATACTTCCAAATCCAATCCTTAATATCGGACAAAGAAGTTTTCGCCATAGCCAATGAGAACGGGAGGCCTAGATACGTTTTATGTAAATTGACTCTCCTAAAGTCCACCCCAAGATCTCCCCTTCTGTCTCGCTACTTGTGTTAAGGCTAAAACAAGCCTCTGGTTTTTTAAATTGACCTCTTTGCCAATGATTTTGGTATAGGTCATCAGCGTCTGTGAAAATCCTTTATGCCTCCCTTTTCTTTGCTTTAAGGAAAAGCAAACTGACATCTGCAACTAAGTGAGAAATAGGCAGCTTATTCACTTATCAAGTTCTTCCTCTTCAAATCGTAAAGCAAAGAGGATAGGCCTTCTGCACATAGCAAAAACACGTAAGGGAAAATAGGGTCTCCTCGACGGATTTCCCTATTTAGATACAACATCCCTTTTCTCTGGCTATTAATCATAAAATAATAGGAAACAGAAGTTACACATCTGATTACCAGCTGCACAAAATGATAGGGGAAAACCTATCCCCAACATGATTTTTTTTGGATAAAAAACCACTCAACTTTATCGTAGGCTTTACTCATATTGAGTTTCAGTGACATCCACCCTGTTTTTCGTTCTTTATGCTTAAACTATGAACATATTCATAGCCTAAAATTACATTATGGGTAATAACCCTTAAGCTAATGAGTTGAAACTCACACATCCTCTTTGGGTGCGTGATTCAACTTTCCCACCTCAGCCTTACATTATTTAGGATGTCTAAACACAGTGTACACACCTGAGGTCGAGCTCTCGAATCTTAGTTTCGGCACATTGTTCGAACTTTTTTACACATGACTAAAAAGCTATCGAATCTTAATCCTTTTTTATATAGATCGAATTTAATCTTTTCACATCCAGTATGATTGGTAGTAACTCAAAAAACTTTTTCCTTTACAAAATCCTCCTAAAAGATGTCATTCATTAGATTTTGTTAGAAGACTGCTAATAAATTGTATGTACACACGAGAAGGTTGTAATTTTATATTTTTAATTAAAAAGGAAAAAAAGTAAAAATCTATCCCGATACATGACAATGAGAATTTTTCCAACCAAAGCTAGCAATGACATCAACGCTTTTATTATCAATGAGCTGATAAAACAATTTCAAAAAAGAAAATACTTGGCTCTTAACGATAAGAAGCAATTTTATCCCCACCAACCTTAAATATTTGACAACTAAGGAAAAGAAATGCAGAATTAGAGATTTTATAAAAATAAAATAAAGAAAATACTTGCCTCCTTGATGGTGAGGACCAAATCTTGTCCTCCCCACCATCGAAAAATTGACATCTCATTAATTTTTATATAAAATCTCTATTTTTTGTATTTCTCTTGCTTAGTTGTCAAACATTTCATGATAGCAAAAKCAAGATTGCTTCTTGACCATTAAGGAGACAAATATTTTCTAAAAAAAAATAATTGAATTAACAATTTTTTAATAGTGGTGAGCACAAAATTTGTTCTTTATTAGTAAGCAAGTATTTTACTTTGAGAAATTGAATCTCAAAGGTAAAAAGTAAAAAGTATTCATATGGTATAACTTTTGTATATTAGCTCCACGAATGAAGCTAGACGAAGCCTCAACAATAAATGGCAGCCTAGCACCTCAACCCAACTAATAGCCATCCAATAAAATATAATCGAGAGTATAAATTAAGTCACATAGACAAATTTAAGATTTTAATTGATAAAATTTTTAGTTTAAATTTTTTTTTTTACAATAGGTTGGAGAGAGATTCGAACTCACAGCCTTTTAGTTCCAGGTATTTATTATTTTTAATTGATAAAAAATGTTTCTTCATTGATGTTATCACTCCTTTTCTTGGAATAGGTGTTTTCGGGGCGGGCAGGCCATCCTCGTCCTCACACCCCTTATTTCAATCTCCATTCTTGTAAAATTTTCCACTATATTTTAAGTGATTGGTTGACTCTCATGGAGAATTATTCCCCACTCATTATTATTATTTAAAATAATTTCTCAGTGAAATAATTTTTAAAGAAATTTCTAATTAAATTCTTAATTTCCAATAATAAAAAGGAAAAATTCGTAAACTACATCATAAAAATAATATAATATTTAATCTTAATTGAATATAGATAATATAATATTTAATCTTAATTTAAAATAGATAGGATATTTGTGTGTATATATATATATATATATGAAAAAAACTTGGCTCCTTAAAATTAAGGACTCCCTAGAGCCATTAAATATTTGACAAAAATTTGGCTCCTTAAAAGTTAAGAACTTCCTAACACCATTAAATATTTGACAATTAAGAGAGAGAGATTCAAAAATAAAAAAAATAATGAGTTGTCAAGTATTTAATGATATTAAGGAGGAAGTTACTCCTTAACTTGAGCCAAGTATATAAGAAAAAGAAAAAACTTCTGTCATGAAGATTTTGGAGAAAATTTCTCCTGAATTCTTATGTGGTTCAATAGCATATAGACAATATTTTTTTTTATTTTTTATTTTGTATAATTTCTGCGTTGTCCACTTGTCTATATACTATTGGACCACACAGGAATTCAAGAGGAGCTTTGTCACGAATTTTCAGGAGAGAAGTTATATATATATATATATATATCTTTTTTGATAACTGGAAGTCSGGGTTTTCCTCCCCTATACTGAGGACACCTACGCCCACCACAAGGCTCAGATATAGAAGACAACAAGAGTTTTTGGTATTAAGCTCACAAGAATGAGAAACATATTCTCTATCTCTATTACGGTTCTACAAGAAAAATGAACACCCTTGATCCGGAAGTAAATGATAAAAGGAACAAAATCTTCGTCCTCCCACATGAATAATTAACTTTAAATTTTAGAAAAAATAAAAAGAAATTGGTGGAAATGGTTGTCGGAATCCACACACATTAATTAACTCATAAGAATACCAACAAAAACAGAAGGACGGCCCCCCCAGCCGGCAGCTGCGAGAGCTCCATTATTATTAAACGCCAAACCCTTTCTTTCTCACTGTACAGTTTACATGGGAAGATGGAGAAACGGCGGCGTTTAGTGGTGGTGCCATGTCCGTACCAGGGCCACATAAACCCAATGCTCCAGCTGGCAAATATCCTCCGCCGCAACGGCTTCGCCATAACCATAGCCCACACCTTCTTCAACTCTCTTCGCCCATGTCGTCACCCGGAGTTCTCCTTTGTCCGCCTCCGCGACGGCCTCCCTCTGAACGACGTGTCGTCATGGGACCTGGCCTCGGTTCTGCTCGCCATCAACCAGAACTGCGGAGCCAGCCTGGAGGAGGAGATGGCGGCCTTGGGGGACCGATCCGATGCGGCCGTGTGTATAATACACGATGAGCTCATGTATTTTTGTCAGGCAGTGGCCACTCGTTTTGGAGTGCGGAGTGTGGTGTTCAGGACCACGAGTGCGGCCACGTGCCTCACTCGGTGTGCGATTCTGCAACTTCACCACCAGGCTCGGCTTCCTCCTCTTGATCAAGGTATTGAGGAGCTTTCTTTTTCTTTTTCTTTTCTTTATTTTTTTTAAACTACCTCGTCATCCTCACCACAATTAAATGTCTCGCGAGAAATGTAAAAGTAAATATTTTTTTTTAAAACATAATGAAAGTTGTCAATTATTGAAGAGTGCACACAAGAATTCGTCCTGACTGTAGAGTCAAGTATTTTTTTATTTAGAAAGAAAAATAATTTGCTGATCAATATTGTCTTCATCATCATTAAAGGTGTGAGAGAAATGCAAAAGCAAAATTGGTTTTTTTTATAATAATGAATTTTCAGATTTTAATGATGGAGAGGATAAGATTTTCTCACTATTAAAGAGCTAAGTATTTTCCATTTAGAAAACAATTTTAACCTAAAATACTTTTTAAAAATAATATTAAAAATGAAAAAGAGTAGAAAATTATAAATTTGAACTTTTAGAGGTGACTTTCAATCTTGTGTCTAATAAATTTTTTAACTCAAATTTATGTATAATATTTTATTACCTGTTCCGACATTTTTTAGAATTCACCAACCTATTAAGCACGAAATTAAAAATATCAATTATGTTAGATGTTAAATTCAATTTTGCGTTTAATAGATTTATTGATTAAAAAAAAGTCAAATAGATCACAAGACTTAGAAGACACAAAATTATTAAAAGTGTAAAAACATTTTAAATACTTTTATTATAAAATTTGATTTTAGCTTGTTATGTATTCAAGTTACTATATATGAATAAGTAAAAATATAACACAACGAATGTGGGTGGAGGATTTACTTATTGGTCAGAGATATATGTCAATGACCAATAAGCTAAATTCATATTAGTAAAATAAAATATACTTTAATCTAAGAGGAAAGTTCTAAAGAATCAAATCAACAGAGCTACTTCAGCAAAATAAATAATATTAATTAATAAATTAAAAGTTAAATATATGTTTTAATTTCTAATATTTAGATGTTTCTACACTTTAATCATTTATTTAAAAAGTTTAAATTTAATTTCTAAAATTTTAATATTTTTAATTATATTTTTCTTTATCGTCAAATATTAAAATTGGTTGATGATAAACTTAAAAGTTACAAAAACTCGAAACAAGAATTCTAAAAGAGCTAATTATTTTAACTTTTTTTTTTTTTAGTGATATCTGTCTCATCTCTTAAATCTTTTTCCAACTTATTGAGCATCATGCCACGTTATAAGCCAAGTTTAACATTTAGTAAACATAAGAGTATTATTGAAAGAAAAATCCACTAAAATTTTTAATATTGAACAGGATCCTCAGAAGATGAGGTACCAGAGCTCCCTCATATAAGATTTAGAGACTTGCCATTACCAGCTGCATCAGATTTCTTCAAATTTACACAAATAATTCTCAACATGTACACCATCACCACTGCTTCAGCTGTGATATGGAACACTATGTCATGGCTTGAACCAAATGAACTCACCCAAATCCAAACCAAACTTTGCAAAATCCCCATCTTCCCAATTGCTCCAATCCACAAGATTGCCTCATCTTCAACTTCAGCCTCAGCCTCTTCAAGTTTGCTCCAAGAAGACCCTATTTGCCTGCCATGGCTTGACAAACAACCTCCCAAGTCAGTCATCTATGTCAGCTTGGGCAGCCTAGCCATGTTGACTCAGCAAGAGCTAGAGGAAATGGCTTGGGGCCTGGCCGAGAGCGGGCAACCGTTCTTGTGGGTTATTCGACCAGGGTCCGTTCGAGGCTCAGATGGGATTGGATGCATGCCAAAAGGGTTTCAGGAGAAGGTTGGAGATATAGGGTGCATTGTGGAATGGGCTCCCCAAAAGGAAGTGCTTGCCCATAAAGCAGTTGGCGGGTTCTGGAGCCACTGTGGGTGGAACTCGACGCTTGAGAGCTTAAGTGAAGGCGTTCCAATGTTGTGTAGGCCGTATTCAGGAGATCAAAAGGTGAATGCGAGGTATATTAGTTGTGTGTGGAAGGTGGGCTTGACTTTGGAAGATTGGTTGGAGAGGAAGGAAGTAGAAAGAGTGATTAGAAGAGTGATGGTGGAAGAAGACGGAAGGGAGATGAGGGAAAGAGGCATGGATGTGAAGGGGCGAATTGAAGATAGTTTAAGGGAGCTGGATGGGTCTTCCTCTTGTAACTTGAAACAACTCGTAGATTTGATAATGTCTTTTAGTTTAACATAAGAAAAATAGTTTAGTGGCAATAAGTCTTATCGCTGACGGTAAAGGATCCCATATTGAAAAGATAAAAGATTTACCAAAAGTTTATATTATAAGTAGATTACTCTTCTCATTGTCAATTGATTTTGAGATGGAATCCTATGAGTATTGATATGGTATCAGAGATCAAAAACTCCCCTTTGATGTTGAATCTTTACATTCGTCTGAGAAATGCTTTATGGCGACAAAAAATAAGATTCGTCCCCAAAGATTTGTCACTTTCGGAGATTTTGTTACGAAAATGGTTGGCGACAAACTTCATAGGTATTTATCACAACGAAAAATCAGAGAATCTATTATAATCAAGATTTTGATTTTGATTTTTTCTTTATGAATTTGAATGGATTTTGTTACTTTTTTATTTTTTTATTTAACTTTTTCAATATACATAATCTTCCAACTATTTCTAATTCACTCAAATTACTTCTAAATTTCTTTATTTTAAACTAACTTTAAAATTTACTGCACCTCTAAGATTATTTAAGTTGACCGCACTTTACCTAATAACTTAAGTAACTTGTAGATTGAGTCTGTCATTTTCATTAATTTTTTTAAGTCTAACTCTATCAAGATAAATTATCAATAAAACATAATTAAGCAACATTTAACTTTAATTTATTGATTCAAATATTTTTCATCAATCTCCATTATCTAGTTTCCGATATTTTCCTCGACGTCGACATTTCTATAAGTAAGCGACTCATATTTTTACATATATTAGTTAAAAAGGATCAATTATAGCCTAATTAAGCTAAAATTAAAATTTTATTTACTAATTCAAACAATTTCCATCAATTTTCACAATTTTCGTGATTTTTCTATAAATATCCGTCGACGTCGACATTTTCTTTAAATGGAAGCCTCAATATTTCCATTGACAACAACATTTCAAATATCGTCTAAAACTAATTAAAAAAATCTACAACATTTTTCCAATCTCAAACTCTCAATAAAACACAAAAAAAAATAAAAAAAAAAGGAGAAAATGTGTCATAAAAATTGTTGATGCAATTTTTGGGGAGCTGGTCGGACCAGGGTCAGGGTTAATTGAATCGTATAATTCGAGTGGATCTAGAGATTAACTAAATATTGGCTATACAAAATTGAGGTCGAGGTTAACTCAATATTGGCTACATAATCATGMGGTTGCATGATTGTTGGGTGGTTTTTGTGGATTTTTCTCCGACCAAGGCTCAAAACGAGTCTTACTTGGGTCTAGCTTAACTTGTGCTTGTTTGGAAAATTCACCCTCAATAGTGGCAGTGGTCCCCACTTCTGAGTTGGGTGAATCAAACAGTCATTTATGTGAGGTGAACACTAGCCCAACTTTAGAAGTAGCGTCTTTAGATATATCGATTAGTACCTAACCATCGCTAAGCTTTGTCCTTTAAGAACGAAGCTTATGGTCCAAACGTTACATCTGATTAAAGCAAAGTCGAGTAGTTCTCAAGGCCGAGGTAATGCTCGAGAAAGAGGTGAATTCTCGAGTTGAGGTGTTTCTCGAGGCTGAGGTAGTTCTCGAATCCGAGGCAACGCAGAAGGTTGAGGTGAATTCTCGAGGCCGAGGTAATCCTCCAAGTCGAGGTGAACTTTCATGGCTGAGGTAACTCTCCAAGATAAGGTGAACTCACATGGCTGAGGTACATACTCGTGGTTGAGGTGTTTCTCGAGGTCAAGGTGAACTCTCGTGGTCGAGGTAACCTCAAGGTCGATGAGCACTTTCGTGGTCAAGCCAGATGTGATGCAATCCACTTGAGGCCGTGGTCGAGCTAAGTTGGTGGTTGACTTCAGGCATGACCGAGTCATGGCCGACTTTTTTGTGGTCGAGGTGGCGCCGAGGGTGTGCTGCCTTGTGTGGACGAGGTGGCACTGAGGGTGTGGCCGCCAAGCCGAGGTGGTTGAGGACGTGGCTGCCCTGTGTGGTTGAAGGCTTGGCCACTCTATGTGGTCATGGTGGCCAAGCACGTGGCTGTTTTGTCGACCTCAAGAAGATTTAGCGCATCCTCAAGGGAAGACCTCAGGAGAATTGAGCGCATCTTCAAGAGAAGACCTCAAGAAGAATTGAGTGCATCCTCAAGGGAAGACCTCAAGAAGAGTTGTTGAGTGCATCCTCAAGGGAAGACCTTAAGAAGAGTTGTTATCCTCTTTGCATTGATTAGTTCTCCAACATACATGTCTCTCTGTGCTCGAGAAATGAACTCATCAAAGGGGACCAGAGTTTTCTTCTAGAGGGACCACATGAATTTTTCGTCTGAAGCCCTACCATGATAGCTATTAAAGTTGTACCTTCTTAGCTTACATCTGTTGATGCAGAAATTTGGCTCCAGTGGATCTCGCCAAATTCACACTAATCTTCTAGAATAAAAGAGATCGACGAGACCTGCAAAACAGAATAGCACTAAGACCGATGTGGCTCTTGCCACACGAGCTCCGATGCTTAAGTTAGTATCGAAGTAGTCGAGTATAGAAAGTAGGGTCTTTAGGCATACCTTTAGGGTTTAGTTTACTCTCGTATTTATAGAGGTCGAGTAATAATCCCTTCAAGATTTACATCAGTTGAATCTTATTCCCTTTAGGATTTACATAAGTTGAATCCTAATGCACCCAAGAGATCTAGATGAAGTTGGSCTCATGCTGCACTCAGGGCTGAGTCCAAGTCAACTCTGATCAGGCTGTGCGGGGGTCGGGAAGAATCGATGAAGTTCTCAGCCATTGGGCCGAGCACTCATCGGCTTCAAGAAGGTCTCAATGCCAAGGTCTGGTCGGCTATGGCCGGCCCGGATTGTTGGGCCCCGACCCACTTACCTTGCTTCGAGTCCGCTCCTTCTTCGTTCCATTCCTTCTTTCTGATTGTTAGTCCAATCTCTATTTTTTTGCTATAACAATGGCCCTCACTCTCAAAATAGAAGGCAGAAAGCATGTTAGGTCTTCTATATTAAGAGTATTTGTCGCTGTCAGTTGTCGTCTTTATGGGTTGGCTATCATAGCCCCCATTCTCTTTTGTTGTAGTTGGCTACCATCAAGTCTCTTAGTATTAAGAGCATTTGTCAATGTCAGTTGTCGTTTTTATGGACTGGCTGTCATAGCCCCCATTCTCCTTTGTTGTAGTTGGCTACCATCAAGTCTCTTAGGCACTATTATACGGTTAGCTTTTACCGTTAGATTTTGGCCTTGGGATTTAACCTTTCAACAGGGCCAGTGGTACTTCTATGGGTTTCTAACCTATTTGGCCTCTACCCATGGTTCTATACCCGAGGATTCACTCTATGGTTTCTAACCTATTTGGCGTTTGCCAATGGTTTTATACCTTGAGTCTAGTCGGCCTTGGGTTTCTAACCTTTTGGCTTTTGCCAGTTTTTTACCCTAAGTTAATGAACACCCCTGGATTTTTAACCTATTTTGACTTTTACCAAATGTTTTTCTACCCCTGGGTTTCATTGATTGGTTAAGGCTTGCTTGCTTTTTGTTTTAACCTTGATGGGCCTGTACGGATGCCTTTCAGCACCTTTGCAATTTTTTCCTTAGTTTCACTGACTGGCTTCTTGCTTATCAGTCTGCTTCTGGGTCTGTACCAGTTCGAGTTCCTTGATCGGCTGTTGATTTACTTACTCATGCCGCCACTTGAGGGATTTATATTTAGATAAAAATGAGTACTCAAGTAAAAGTCAATCAATAAAAAGTACCTATGACTTTATTGAAAAGGAAACAAAACAAATAAAACTTATCCTATTTCAACGCAAATATGCAATCATTATATGGGGAAAAGGTAAAATAACCTATCCTATCAAACATGCAATAATATGATCCTATCTAAGGTAGAAAATGAGATAAATAAAAAAAAATTACTATGGTCTTGAAGCGTGAGTCCTATCAGTTTCCTTAGTTGCTTCTTAGTGAGGTGTAGTAACACTCTCATGTAGCTCTCCTTTAACTTCACCTATTCTTCCTAATATGGTTTTTATCTCCCTGACGGGTGACTTGTCGTCTCGATCTCTGTCTGGAGTTGTCCTGTACTCTTTTATGTACTATTTGAGGTAACCTCTTCGAATGAGGTCCTATATTTCTTCATTGAGGTCGAAACAATCCTGTGTCGTTTGGCCATGATCTCTATGGTACAAACAATACCTTCCCTTTTGCTCCTTTTGCTGGAGGATGCTTTCATCCTGTAAGGCCATCTGAGTAGTCTTTGGTATTTTATTTCCATCAAAACCTGTTCGAGTGGGACCGTTGTTAGAGTGTATTTTTCAAATTTTCGCTGAGGATCCCACTGGACTGGTCGACCCTGTCCGTTATCTAATCTCTCCGACCTCGATCCGTGTCGCTTTTCTCTAGGCCTCTCTCTCTCCTTATGTTATAATATGCATGTTTTCTTTTAGGGTCACGCCTCGAGTGAATTAATTCTCCAACACTCATGTACTTCTGGGCTCGGCTTAAAGCTTCCGAGAAAGTGTCTGGAGTTCTCTTCCCAAAAGAGAACACCAATTGTTCGTCTTTCACACCGGATACAAAGGCTAGCAGCGTCACTGCATCTATCAGACCCTCCACTTGTAGCTTCTCTTCATTGAACCGAGCTACATAGTCTTTGAGGCTCTTTGTCGCATTTTGCTTAATAGTCAACAGGTATGCTACAGGCTTGCTTCTATTTCATCCTCCGATGAATTGGAAGACAAATGCTCTCGCCAATTCCTTGAAGCTTGAGATCGATTTTCCTTTCAATTGTTGGAACTAGATGCGTGTCTAACCAATCAGATGAAAGAGAACACTCTACATCTAATAGCTTCCGTTATGCCATAAATATCTGTCCATTCTCAGTATGCGTCGAGGTGATCAATGGGATTTGTCGAACCGTCGTATTATGTGATGGTGGGTAGCTTGAACTTCGAAAGAAATTTTTCTTTCATTATTTTCTCCGTAAAGGGAGGGTCTGCTTGGTCTACAAGTTCCTCAAGATCAAACTTCTTATCTTTGTGTCATCCTGACTATATTTCTTATAGCTCAGTTCGACCGG